AGGGAAAGCAGGGACACAATCTGTACCAAGAAATATGACAGCTGTTAATTTGCTTTGACATAAACTTGTTCTGTACTGGTTCTTAGGATCCAGCGATCCTCATGCTAAAAAGCAAAATATAATTTTTTCTCTATGTTTAAAAATAATGCACCTTTTTTCTTTTTTTTTTCTTCTTTTTTTTAATTCTTCTGTAAATGAAACATCTGTGGTGTAAAATATCCTGTATGACCTGTGTTTTACCTCGGGCTCCCACCACTCCTGCTGTTGGTTCAAAGCAATTAGGCTTCGGGGTTAGAGTACTGCTTTTAGGAGTTGTGAGTCAAATTTCTGCTGAAGCTCGAGCTAGAAAGTGACTTCTTGCAGTGAAAATGTGGTAAATGAAATGGATGCTGGGAATTCTCAGGGCTTATGCTGCTGGTCGTCCTGTGGCCAGTGACCAGGTAAGTACTGGCACACTGCAGCAGGGATGAAGTCAGAACTCTCCATCTTACCTTTTTCTTTGCATGTGCTGCAATTGTATCAGGACATCCGAGAATGTGCTGCATGTAACAGGTGGTACAGGCAGAAACTCAGTGTAGTTTCATGTAACTATGTTAATTTGGATGGCTATTTTGTTGGGTTTAGCACCAGCAGGAAGAGAAGCATGTTTGCTTTGTTGTCAGTTGAGTGTTTTCTAGGGAAAAGGATGAACGCTCTGCTACCTCCCTGCTCCTGCCCGAGTGATTTGTGTGGGCAATGATCTAGATTTTGATACCCCCTTTTGGGCTTATAGTTTTGAATATTGACGTCATCTTACTTGATTTTTAAATGTTTGTAGCTCGTGAATTTTAATTTAGCTCTGAATTCTCATTCTTGACTGACTTAATCCATTGCATCCGACTGTATGTTTCCCATATGTTTGGGCTAAATATTTGTGCAGCTAATTTTAGGCAAAGCTGAAGTCTCTCTACTGTGCCTTTGTTTTTTTTAATCTATTATGTTAGCTGTTGTGTAATATCCTGCTGTCTTCTAATTGCAGCCGATCGGATGATGATTCTGGGTCAGCATCGGGTTCTGGATCTGGTTCAAGCTCTGGAAGCAGTAGTGATGGAAGCAGCAGCCAGTCAGGCAGCAGGGACTCTGACCGCGGACCTCGGGTGCTGTCTTCTAATTGCAGCCGATCGGATGATGATTCTGGGTCAGCATCGGGTTCTGGATCTGGTTCAAGCTCTGGAAGCAGTAGTGATGGAAGCAGCAGCCAGTCAGGTAGCAGCGACTCTGACTCTGGATCTGAGTCAGGCAGTCAGTCAGAGTCCGAATCCGACACATCGAGAGAGAAGAAAGTTCAAGCTAAGCCACCAAAAGTTGATGGATCTGAGGTAAAACATTTAAGTCAACCCTCGTGGGGAAAAATCACTGTGCAGTTAGTTGCAAGAGCAGTTTTCATGTAAGAAAAGAATAAATAGGATTAGGCAATAATTTTTTTATTAGAATTTCGCTTAGAGGGATAAGTGAATGTATTGCTTTGCTGTCATGATATTTTGTTATGAGCTGAGTTTTTCATAGATGACTGTTTGCAGTGACACTCTTAAATTTTTGCATTACAGTTATGTACCTACCTAAAATGATTTTGGTAGATACCTAAAATGTTATCACACCCATTTACTTACTACTTACTTCTGAAGATGAAGTAAAATCACAACATTATTTCTAAAATTTTATCCTTTAAGTCATCCTGCGAGTACTGTTTCCCTCATGTTGCTAATAAACTGTGTTACAAAAATTTTACAAAGTTTACATGCAGTTGGATTTCTGTCTGGCACAAGTCTGCTAAATTTAGGAAGAAAATATTGTTTAGAAATCCTCTTGATACATGTATTTCAGGTAATCTAGATACAGTGTATTTTTGCTCATATACTTCACTGTTCTCACATGAAGCAAAATTACTGGAAGATAGTATCAATTGTGTGACCTAAAAGGATTTATCTGGGCTGGTTTAACTTCTTATTTTAAAAATATTTTACTTCAGTAATAAACTACTGTTTACAGTAAGAAAAGTGCTGACAATTCTTATGCGGTGTTCTGCCATGCAGAAATCTTGCTGCTTTAAGCTACTATCTGATATTATTAATGTATGCAGTATTTTATGGTTCATTTTTATTATTGGTGAAGTTGAGGTCAGTCTGACTAGCAGTGCTGTTCTTGTTAAGCAGTGTAGGTATGTGATAGACTTTAAAAGTTCCAGTATTTTTAAATAACTGTGTCTGAATTCTGGCCCAGTTTTGGAAGTCCAGTCCAAGCATACTTGCCGTGCAGAGATCAGCAGTGCTCAAGAAGCAGCAGCAACAGCAGCAAAAGGCAGCTTCATCAGACAGTGGTTCAGAAGAGGTGAATGACACAAAATAAGTCAATAAGTCTTTTTTTTTTCTCTCTCTCTATTGTGAATGTGTCTCCCATTGCCCCAAATTTTGGGATAAAATTATGCAGAGCCAACTTATATTCTCTGAGTGCGAGTAAAAGTGGTTTAATCTATTAAAGTAATGTTCAAATGACAGACATGCTTATGAGGAAATTTTAAAATATCTTCAGTTGCATATTTTGAGCTGAGTTGTGCCAAATTTATAGCAGTCTAGGTTATTTGGTATCTTTAGGATGGATGAGATTTTCAGGTCATATAGTACCGACTTTCATTGTATTTTTGCCTTCTGTGTTTCATAAATACTGTTTAAAATACAAGAAAAAGAGCTGAGAAGTCTTCTAGTATAAAGGTCACTGCTATAGTTTTCAAAAACACTGTACGCAATGGAAAACTGCATTTTTGCAGATTTCATAATAGTTATTACAAAAGAAATCTTTATTTTAGGAACCATACCTCAGTGTTAGATATTTTAAAACCTAAACTGTAGGCGAAAAAAATGTAGACTTGTGTAGACTAGCAGGAATATTTTCTTAAGGACACTAGTGATTTTAACATGAAATCTATATATAAAGCAAAGTTTTATCTCCTTCATTACAAAAATGAAACATTGTTGTTACAAATCTTTACTCAGGAGTCCAGACATCTGGTTTGGTGTGATTTAGCTGTTCATCATTAAAACAAAGGACTCTATGGTTAAAAAGTTAATACAACACCGGTGCTAAGAATTTTTTTTTTTTCTCCTCCATACGTGCTTTTTAGGATAAAAATTATTTTGAGCTATATGAGATTGGGTTTAGGAAAATGTGGTTTTAAGACGGTTCATCAATTTCTTTTCTTGTTTAGGACTGGAAAGAGAAGAATGCATTCTATTCTCAAATTTCTCTTAAGCTAGAGAGAAGTATGAGAGAATATGAAAGGTGACCAAGGTGTGAAACAGCAGAGGCTATTTATTAGCAGGATATTATTTATTAGGCTTTCAATAGAATTTTATTTCATCTCTATTAACCTGAAGCAGCTTAAAGCATGACTATACTTTACATAGGTGCTTTGACTATTCTCCAATCAGGTTTTTGGTGGCATTTTCTAGAGTTCTGCTGGCATGGTAGATTGATGGATAAATATAAAAACATCACCAATCCTCATCTGGTTCAGTATCATTAGTTACACTGAGCGGGTTGAAGAAGATAAAACATGAAGAATGTGATTCTAGTGTGAAAGTGGGAGACGAATTATCTTTTCATTGCTAAAAATACTTCATTGTTTTTGTGATAGTGAATCATGTATATTCGTTTGTTAATCTGCAGGACTCATCTAGTAGTGAAGATTCTGCAGATGACTCATCCAGTGAGACCAAGAAGAAAAAACATAAAGAGTAAGATATTTTCATAAATAATGTCCTATCATATTTTGTCATCGTGGTATATGGTTATAATTATCTACGCTTCCTTTCTCCACCCTAGAAATACTTAAATTCCCATGTTAATTCATCTTTATCTTGCACTCCTCAGTTTTGATTGATGCTTGGAATATTTTTAAAAAAATCTTAAAGGAGCATAAATCTCTCTTGCCTCTGAGCAGAAGAGCCTATAGTACCTACAGTGTTACTCAAAAACATTTATCCAGACTTTCATGTCAATATCATTAGGGATGGCATGTTTTTGTGCTGCTCTCAAAAAATCATTGAAGAAATAGGATACTACTTCAGCAGGTTGCCTCAGATCAAATTTAAGTTGGAATCCCATAGATTATGCCAATCCTCTTGGATTTTTTTGCTCTTTCAACTGTCCAGAAGGTATTACGTATCTGACAGTAATAGCTTTATTGACTAGTCAAGGAAGCTTAATTGAAATTGATTATGCTTTGTCATCATGACAGTGAAAGCAGAAGAGACTCTGATCTGTATTTTTATGAATGATGTGTAGCAATTTCAACTCATACCTTTTCTCCCAATTAATATGTCATCTTAATACTCGGAGTTGACAGTATAGTATCATTGAGAAACTTTGATGGAAGGATAATGGTGCAAAAAAGGTTAAATGTGCAAAATGGTGGTGCTTCATTGGTAAGTTGTTTGCATTCCTATGTTAAGTAAGAATTTATTGGCACCTAGTAAAGTACTCTGCTACAGGAAAGACACTTAACTTCAGAAGTCAGCAAACAAACTCACACATCCAGTGCTTGATTTTGTTTTGACCCTTTTGAACAAGTATGTTTGTGGTTGTTGTGTGATACGCAGATGAGCGGTTTCTTGTTCTATAATGTGGCACAGGATCAAGCCATAGAAGATCATATCTTACATCTGTATGTCTATATGACCAAATAAATGCAGGTTGGAGATTTTTAACTTACTGCAAGCAGACGAAGTCTTTTAATAAGACTAATGGTGCTGTAGCATCGGTCATTGCATGTGTGTGTCTTGGAACAATGAAAATATAATTTCTTCCAGGACTAGTAGATGTTTAAATGCGTGTGTACTCGATGGTGGGGGACAGGGGAGGAGTGTCACAGCATGCATTCCTAGGCTTCCTGATTGAAATTTAATGAAGAAGTCCTTTAATGATAATTCACTTCTGAAGAACATATGAGGACTGTTCCAGAGCCTTGGTCAAGGAGCCGTAAACGTGGTGACAAGTGATAGTGTAAATATTTAACAGCCTCTGAAGAATGCGTGCGAGGCTTCCCTCTGTGCTGCTTCAGTTGCAGCACCGTTAAGGTGAAATTTGCCTGTACAAACTCAGAACTTAAAGCAAGGTGCTGTTCAGTGGTGGCTCCATTTTTCTTTTTGCAAATAGAAGCTCAAAGCTAAGCAGGAGGAAGGAGGTGCTGCCTCTCAAGAGTCACACACTGTTTACTCGTAGTATCCTGCCTGCTTGTCAGATTTGAGAACTTGGTGGGAACTTTTGGGAGTAAATACCTCTCTGATTGCTGCAGTTCTGATCTTTCTGTGCACTTCTCAAATGTGCTTCTGCATTATTCGTGGTTCCTGTGGCTAAGTTTCCAGTGCTTCATGTGAGGCGCAGGGGAACGTAGCTATTGGGGAGTTCTGGACTCCAAAATATTACGTTTAGTGTTCGATTTGATCATGGGTAAGCTGCAGTCTTTACATGTTACCTCTCTTCTGTAATTTCTACAGAAATTCAGTTTTTATTTATGATTTTTCTTTTTGAAACTAGCTTTTGATGGTAGAAAAATGAATGCCTCCAAATCAAGGTGAATTAGGTACTTTCACTTGTTTGTTATCTGTTCATGATAATTTTGTGTCCTTTCAGTAGATGCTGCAATAAGTGTTAGGGGATTAGCAAATGCATGAGTAACTACTTTATTAAAAAAAAAAAAAAAAAAAACATCATGAGTTACTTTTTTTTAATTTTTCAATATGTACAGTGAAGACTGGCAAATGTCTGGATCAGGGTCAGCATCAGGAACTGGCTCCGATTCTGAATCAGAGGAAGATGGGGAGAAAAGCAGTTGTGAAGAGAGTGAATCTGACTATGAGCCAAAAAACAAAGTCAAAAGCCGGAAGCCTCCAAGCAGGTAGGAAGTCTTGCATTTCGGATACTCTAGTCCTATTTCTGATTAATAATTCGAACATTGTACTACTAGACATGTAAATGAAAACATGTATATTACAGAAATTGAAAACTTTTTTGGTTATAAAGCATGTCATCCTACCAGTACGCTGTAGCAAATGTCTCTTTCCTGTGGGCTGTCACTGAAAGTGGCATAACTAAACAGCCATGAAGTAAGCATATTCAGAAGCAAATAGGGATGGTTTGTGGTTTTCCATGTTGAAACCTCATTGTTTTGTCATATCTTACTGTCTTAAGAATTAAGCCAAAAAGTGGCAAAAAGAGTGCAGGACAGAAAAAGAGGCAGCTTGATTCATCAGATGATGATGAGGACGATGACGACGACGATGATGATTATGATAAGAGAGGGTCTCGTCGCCAGGCAACAGTCAATGTTAGTTACAAAGAAGCTGAAGAAACTAAGACAGATTCTGATGATCTGCTGGAAGTCTGTGGAGAAGATGTCCCACAACCTGAAGAAGATGAATTTGAAACTATAGAAAAGTTCATGGATAGTCGATTTGGCCGAAAAGGAGGTATTTTTTTTATCTGTGTTTTTCAGATGTAAGTTTTGGTACAGCTTCAGCACTTGTTCTCAGCTCTAGGTCATCTGTGATATTTGCAAACAGTAATAAGTTTAAAAATACCAGTAAGTTATGTTGTATTGTTTTTTTCATGCTGATAAGGAGGCTGTTTTTTAAAGTCCTTTTTCAAGCCTTTCGCCATAAAGCACAGAACTTACATAGCTGAGTAATACAAAAAGAAGTTAGATAGCTCTGCATTCATAAATGCACACCATGTTGCAGCACTGCTTATATTTTCTAATACCTGGTGGGTGTAAGTTGTACACATTGGAAAGGGAGACGGTGGACTGGATAGAACAGCTAACCCCTGAGCATTGAGAGATGGCGTCAGGAAGGCTGAAGCATTTCAGTTGTTTCAGTTATTTTTGTGCGAATCGTCTCAGTTTATTACAAAGAAATGGTGGAATGGCTACGAAGTGGTGTGTTTGCGTGTGTGTTTTTTTGTGAATGATGGTATGAGTGTCTTATTTCCAGCAGTGATGGTTGCAGTTCGTTGTGTGTTCTAGCCTGCAAATTAATGTCCTAACTAGGAAATTCATTACCTTTACACTTCAGAGCTGCATTTCCTCATTAATTTTAACTAATCTCTGGAGTTTCTGACCTTCTGTTTTTCTTTACTTTTTTTTTTCCCCCGTATGCTGTCCTGAATTCCAGTCTATTCCTCTAACTCGCAGGCACAGTGTGACCACTGTGTTAAACCTTTTGGACTAGGCTTGTTTTATGTGATTCTCCAGATGCTGTTGCTGTTTTTGTCCTTTGTTGTTGCCACTCTCTGTTGCTGTATCTGTCCCCTGGTGATGATTGAGTCCTGGATGTCTTCACAGAGATGAGCCTGCTCCCTGATGCTCGTAGGCTTCAGCTGGGATGCAGTCTCTGCTTAATTAAAAATTTCCTCAGATAACATTCTTAGGGCAGCAGGAAAAAATGCAGAAAGACATGCCTAGGAAGAAATAGATTTATAGCATCCCTGGTAGCAGCTTATTGAGGTCTCAGGGCTGGCCAAGCATGATGTCTAATTCCAATTCAGAGATGAGAAGGCTATAGCGGGGAAGACAGCAAGTAATGTTAATAAAGCATTCCTTGGGGATCACTAGAGGTACTGGGAATGCTAAGAAAATTCTGTAAGAAAATATGAGATTTTACAAGTTAGATACGTGGGATTATCGATTACTTTTTTGATTTTTCTTTTGACTTCTTGTGCATGTGTTAATGTATCTGTATCATCGTTGTTCAAATAAAAGTGATTACGTGAGGACTGTAATCCAGTTCATTTGAAAGCATCACTGATTGCTTTCTATAGCACTTTTCTTTTTGGTTGATTGATGGCAGTGCACATTTTATTAAGGTTTATGGTTTGCTTTCCTTTTCAGCCACTGGTGCTGCAACCACCATCTATGCAGTTGAGGCAGATGGTGATCCAAATGGTGGGTTTGAAAAATCTCAGGAGCCAGGCGAAGTACAATATCTTATTAAATGGAAAGGCTGGTCCCACATCCATAATACCTGGGAAACTGAAGAAACACTGAAGCAACAAAATGTTAAAGGAATGAAGAAGCTGGACAATTATAAGAAAAAGGATCAGGAAACAAAACGATGGTGAATATTTTAATTTTTCCTTCCATGTTTTTATAGTAATATAGATGTTTTATCATGGCCCTGTGAGATCTGTTTGTGAGGGTATGTAGTGTCTATACAACAAGAATATAAAAAAGAACATGAGATCTCCCCAAATCTTTACAATCTTGTAAGATTCTGAGCGTGCTGACTTTTTGGTCGAGCATGTGAGAATATTCACACATCATGTAAAACTGGATCTTTAAGTAAGCAGCTGCTGCTCCCATATTTTAGTGTCTGTTACAGAGGTTTGCACAAGATGAATGTAAATGAAATGTAAAAGAAAAAAAAGTCTTAGTTCTTTTACTGGTTTTGAAGTTATATTTTGATCAGAGCTCTTCAGGAGTCAGTGTAGATATCTACACTATTTTGCCAAGTATTTAGTTTTCTTGGCTCAAACTTCTCTCAAAGATGTAGAGCCAACAGCTGAAGAAGTCTGTGCATTCTAATGTCACACCTTTGATGTTCCATTTTATTGGTATTTTAATCCCACCTGTGAACACTGGTGGGATTTTTAGGGAAACTTACTTATAAGATGCGTTCTTGTTGAGTGAGCCCTCCCTGAAGGCTCCGTGGAGGTGTCCTGTGAAATACACTGCATGCTGTTGCCCATAGATGTTCTGATTTATCTTCATGCCTAGTACAAACTGTGGTGTCTCTTGATATGCTTTCTCAGTCACTAGAGATGAGGTATCTAAGTCAGATGGAACACTTTTATAGCAGGAATTTCTGAGTTGTAGACACTTCAAAGCAGCTCTCTAAGAAGCATTCCTGTGATGCTTATGTTCAGAGCTTTAGAGTTGCCAAATTTTCTTAGTTTTAGAACTAGACAATGTAATAAGCACTGTAAATAAATTCCCATTTCAGGCTGAAAAATGCTTCTCCAGAAGACGTGGAATATTATAACTGCCAGCAGGAACTTACAGATGATCTACATAAACAATATCAAATAGTGGAAAGAATAATTGGTATGTGACAAACTTGCAGACAGAAAATAATGTTGAGAATATTACATGGTTTTTGCTTGTACAATGCACTTGTAGTTAAGAAACTTGTAATTGAGAGTATTGATTTGACTACATTTTAATGCAGAACAAACCTTCTGATTAAAAAATAGTCTTGCTTCTTGTTGTGAAAATAGTTGTCTTATAATTTAAAATTAGTGTTTTTTTTAAATACACAAAATACTGATCTGAGATCTCTGATGCATTTCTACAGCTCATTCAAATCAGAAATCTGCAGCTGGTTATCCAGATTACTATTGCAAATGGCAGGGTCTGCCTTACTCAGAATGTAGCTGGGAAGATGGTGCTCTCATTGCTAAAAAATTTCAGGCACGCATTGATGAGTATTTTAGCAGAAATCAGTCCAAGACAACTCCCTTTAAGGACTGCAAGGTGAGTGCATGATTGCAGTGGCTTTGTAGTCAATTATCGTAGTAGAAGTGTATTTAATCCAGAAATCCAGAATCCAGAAATAATGTGCATACTATATAATATTTTGTATGTTGCTCAGAATAATATTAATGAGATATGTACTTGTATGTGTGTGTATAGAGAGAGACAGAAAGCAGCACTGCCGAGAATAGTTTTTTGTAAATGTTTCTCCCTTTTTTACTGACATGCATAGGTGCAGTTTGGTTTCATTTGTTTTGGAAGTAACCTTTGTGAGTGTGCTGATGTCACTGCCATGGAATTTAGAAATCAAACTAATTTCAGGTGTTGCTGTATGGCCTAGTTTGGTAAAGGCTAGACACAGTTATCCAACAGATTTCTGCCACTGAGTTGCTTTTATAGGAAAATATTTTCATAATTTCTATTAGTGTTAGGACTGATGCTCAGTTTTCTTTTGACAGGTTCTGAAACAGAGGCCAAGGTTTGTTGCACTAAAAAAGCAACCATCTTATATTGGAGGGCATGAGAATTTAGAATTAAGAGATTATCAGTTAAACGGATTGAACTGGCTTGCTCACTCATGGTGCAAGTAAGTATAGTCTGAAATGAATTTTGCTGTTTACAAATTGAAAGATTATATGTTAAAATAAAAAGTGAACCTCTGAAAGATGCACATGAGTTTTATAATTTTAAAGTAGACATGCAAGGAATAGCGTAAGCTTTTTGTTAAACATACTTGAAAAATAAGTAGTATGCTAAAAAGTGTTATGTGATTTTTGAAATTGATTATATATGCAACTAAACAAAGTTTAAGATTTACAGTTGAAAAATTTAGGTTTTTAGGAGCTTTTTAGTGTTCAAAAAATAATCTCATTTTGCTCCTTTTTTGTTTTCTCAGAGGGAATAGTTGTATTCTTGCGGATGAAATGGGTTTAGGTAAAACAATACAAACAATTTCCTTTCTGAACTACCTGTTTCATGAACACCAACTATATGGACCTTTCTTGCTGGTTGTGCCGCTTTCTACCTTGACATCTTGGCAAAGAGAGATTCAGACTTGGGCTCCTCAGATGAATGCTGTGGTTTACTTAGGAGATATAACTAGCAGAAATATGGTGAGTATTTGTATCATTGGAAAAGATCAGCCGTACACAAGGCTAATTTCATGCTTTTGTCTTCTGTTCCTTTTCAGTATTTCTGTTCAGAAATGAGCAAATACTCATTAGAAAGCAAAATGAAAACTTAGGTTTTTGAGCCAATATAAGCATGTGAAGGATTTCATTACTGCTAACTAATAAGGGTTAAAAATGCAGATGTACATTTGAAAATAAATTGTCTTTCACCATGGAATTATTGAGGTACAAGGCAAGACAACTGTGATCTTAATTTGTTTTTTGTAAAGGAGTATTCTAAGTAACCTCATCCATTAAAACAAAAAAATATGTTCTCCAAAACTTCTTGCCATTTCTTCATAAGTTTAAGAGAACTATCTTGGGGGCCTTAGAGCTTGGACTACATACATTATCTTTCATACATTAGTGTGCTGTAAATTTGCTTGATGATCAAATTACTTTGTGTTAGTGAACAGTATTACTGTAGTGTTTGAAATCATGCCAATCAATAAGCCTTTTTCTGTAGCTTACAGTTCACTTTATTCCATTTGTAGATAAGAACTCATGAATGGATGCATCCACAGACCAAGCGATTAAAATTTAATATACTTCTAACAACTTATGAAATCTTGCTGAAGGATAAGGTAATTGCAAGAATCTTTTTCAGGGAGATACAATTACATGTCCAGTGCAGCACTTTTCTAGGGATGCATGTATTTGGGTTCGGGATCAATAAATGGGTGGGAAATTTGACAATTTTGCTTTCAGAAGTAGGACAGTAGAGTTTTTTTTTAAGCACTTTTAGATATATTTTTTTTTTTTGTACATGCAATGAACCTTTCTACCGTCCTCACCTGTTTTTCCCCCACATTTTATTGAGCGGGCTGCAGTTTTTTCCCTAGTTTGATTTGACTTCTCGTTACTATAATAACCAGTTTCCATCTTGAATCACTCTCCTTCCTTAGATGGTCATCAAAGAACTAAAAAAACAAACCAACCTTCAGCCCTTACATCTGTGATACAGAACTTTGAAATTCCATTTTTTTTCCATTGTATAGTTTTCTCAGTTATTTTTAAACCTCCCTATAGTGTATCGAAATTTTTGCAAAAAGTCAATGAGCAGAACATTTGTACTTTTTTGTTTCTATGTGCTGTTTCTGTCATGTAAAAATTAATATAAATGTAATGTAAATGTAAAGATATAAAATTAATATTTGATCAACTTTATTTTTTGTTTTTTAATTTAAGGTGTCCTTTTTTTAGGATGCTGCAATAGTTCAACAGGTTAGGTGCCTAGACCCATAGGTGTCCATATTTTGTTAAAATAAAGTGGTGATACTTGTAGTCTGCTATAAAATACCGGAATTTGCATTAAATGCTTATTAGTATAATGTTTCTATTTTTGCTGTCTGTTTCTTTAAGTCATTCCTTGGTGGTCTGAATTGGGCATTTATAGGAGTGGATGAAGCTCATCGTCTGAAAAATGACGATTCCCTTCTGTACAAGACTTTAATAGACTTTAAGTCTAACCATCGTCTTCTTATTACTGGAACTCCTCTGCAAAACTCCCTCAAAGAGCTTTGGTCCTTGCTGCACTTCATCATGCCAGAAAAGTAAGAAAAAGCTTTTTGTGATACATGATGATATTTTTTTCTTAAGTTTCTTACTGTGGAGTGTTGTAGGAATTGAGAGAATGGCATAAATAGTTTAAATATTGTGTATAAAGCAGGTACACGTCTTCGATGCTGCTATAGATAAATAATTCTGGTAGCATTTTTTTTCCTTTTTTTTTTTTTTTTTTTTTTTTTTTTTGGTAGGCAAGCCAAGCAGAAAAGAAACCCCAGGAGGAATGATGTCTGGGTCAGATTCCTGAAAAGATGCTTTTTCCTAGTCTGAAAGATGGGTTTAGTCTGGGGATTTACAAGGTGGATTTACTCTGGGGAAATAGAATGGGGTTGAGGATACTTTTTCTCTGTTTTCTGTTGAGGAAAGCAGCCTTGTAGCAAGATGCCAGATGCCAATAACCAGTATTCAATCCCGTACCTAGTTAGCAAGCCACACGGGCAAACAGTAGGTTTACTGTACAGACTTTATTTTATAGTAACTTGTGTTTACATCTAGGGTAAATGAGAACTCTTAGCACATGTCCTTATCAGATACCTTGTAAATGCAAAGCATCCTGGTTTTGGTTAGCTGGGGAGCTATGCTTTGCATTGAGGACTTTAGAACTTTACAACCACAACCAATGAAGCTGTTACCTAGCATGCATTCTTCATCTGACTGCTTGGCCACTCTCGTAGTCTGCGTAACCATCCTTCAGCTGCTCTGTGTTTGTGTTCTGTTTCTTCTTGACTGTCACTTCTTCAGGACATTCACAGTACATCACTATTTTCATAATGATTCCTGTAGTCACTCATTGACTTCTTTATCTTGAAGGTTTTCTTCCTGGGAAGACTTTGAAGAGGAGCATGGCAAAGGGAGAGAGTTTGGTTATGCAAGTCTCCACAAAGAACTTGAACCATTTCTACTGAGAAGAGTTAAAAAAGATGTAGAAAAGTCTTTACCTGCTAAGGTTGAACAAATTTTGAGGATGGAAATGAGTGCATTGCAGAAGCAATATTACAAGTAAGAAATGACATTATATAATTCTTATTTTATATATATAGTTCATCTGCCTGCAAATTACTAAGTATATTAGTTTTTGTGATGCATTTAAGCTTAAGGCAAAACAAGAAAAAGTAAGAATGCTTGTCAGGATTTTACCACAGCGAAATTCCATGAAGCAAAGGCTTAAAAATTATATTGACCTAATCTTTGTTCATTTAGCTTCTGTTGTACGGCGTGCTTGTACCTTTTTTCTTTGGAGCTGCATTTTCTCTTTGATTTGCTTCTGTTTTGAAAGCTTACAAGTATCTTAACTTCTAACCTTGTGTAGAATTATTTACACTGTACATTCTATATCATAGGTGGATTTTAACCAGGAATTATAAAGCCCTGAGTAAAGGTTCAAAAGGCAGTACATCAGGCTTTTTGAACATCATGATGGAACTCAAGAAGTGTTGTAACCATTGCTACCTCATTAAACCACCAGATGATAATGAATTCTATAATAAACAGGAGGCCTTACAGGTAATACCGCTTTGTTTTTAATTACATCTGTATTGCACGCACAGCCATTTTATACTGTTGAGTCAATTTGTTCCTTCTTACTGAAGTATATTACAAGCGAACAATATCTCTGAAATGTGAGTTTTACAGGTAAGTGAATTGGTTTCTTGTTTATGAATTAGAACTGAGTATTAGACCATTACTAAAGACAATATCCCTGATTTTAATTGTGATCAAAATAAAAAGGGAATAGTTTGAAATAGTCTATGTATTTTCAGATGATATAAGCTTCAGGCCCATTTAAAACTAGATGTAAAAAAAAGTAATTTAACAGGTAAATGTAGTATAAATGCAACCTTAGTGTCTACAAATGGTAGTAGTACATCCATGATCCATATGATAGCTAAAATTGATTTGCAGAATATTTTTTAAGTTTTTTGGTTTTGGGACGTGGAGTTTGTTTGTGTTTTTAATAACAAAATACTTCTTTGTATGCCTGTAAACAGCCAAGTGGGAGGAAATAAAAGTAGGGAATAGACAAAGCTTATTATGATTTTTGCAGTTATTGTTGGCAGTGAAAACAACTGCGGCACCACTACCAAGGATGGGCTGTGTATGTGGCTTATTTTCTTTTTTTCTCTCATATAGGTTAAGTAGTCTTTTCACTAAAACTGTTGAGAACCACCTCAACAGGTAAAACAACTGGTATTATTTGATGCTGTTTATACCAACATAACTATTTCTAAAGTTATTTTTTTATGAAAGCTTTAAAGTTAGTAAATTAAATAGTTTTTCCAAATGTATTGGGTTGTGCGATGCCAGCTTGTGATTTCAAGCTGTTTTATGTTAAAAGTGTTCCTTAAAGCTAAAGGATATTTAACTTGCAACCTAAACTGTAATTAAACTGCCAGAGCGGCTCAGCCATCCTTTGTAATAATTGCCTGCTTTTAACAATGACTTCCTCAGCCATCTTAATAAGCTTCGTTACAACAAAATATCCTCCTGCTTTCTCTTATAAAGAATGAAAGTGCCTAACCCAAATTTCTCCCTCCTCAAAATTGTTTCACAAGCCTTTTCCAAGTTCAAGAGGCCTAAATTTTCAGTGTTAAATTCCGTATGTCCCAGAGATTTTGTTCCAGTTATTCCCAGTGAAGGAGGGAAGGCTGCCTAAAGCCTGGTAGACTCCACAAATAAGATTCTTCTCGCTTCATCTTTCATGAGAGACTTGAGTGATGTGACGTTGTCTAGGAATACTTGCAGAATGAGGCAGCAGTGCCTGTTTCTGTTCATAAGGTGGGAGGTGGGGAGAAAGAAACTATAGAATAGTCCCTTTTCATAAAAATCTCAAGTATTTTGTTAACTCTGAAAAGCTGTAGTTTACTTGGCAAAATAGGACTTGGGCCTACACCCTAACTGCTCTGATTGGTAGCCCCGTATATTGACTTAACACTTTGGTGGAATGTCAAGGTGCTGTCTTAGGAGCTGGAGTTGAGAATTCCATTTTCTTAACAGGAGTGTCGAGTAGCATATTTTTGACTTCATTTGAAGTACTTGGTGCTTTTATAATGCCTTTTTGCAAGATGAGAGTTCTTGCTAAATCCTCATTAAACTTTCAAGTCAGTCAATGCTGCATAGTTGTTGATCTGTGTAGCAGTGTAGTACAGTCACCCAAATGTGTGTGTTGTAGAAGCATGTAGTGTGCACATATTAAAATATTTTTTTAAGGGAATGTTAAAATTTCTGTCATTCTTCCCATACCGGTAGTCAAGAAAGCAAACCTAAGATGAATGCTTAACTAATTGCACTGGGTGTTAATGTTGAGAGGAGCTTATTCTGTAATGTATATTTGCGTTATTTTTGTAGCATCTAATACGTAGCAGCGGAAAACTAATCCTTCTTGACAAGCTACTGATTCGTCTGCGAGAACGTGGCAACAGAGTTTTGATTTTCTCTCAGATGGTGAGGATGCTGGACATCCTAGCAGAGTATTTGAAGTATCGCCAGTTTCCCTTTCAAGTAAGAATTTTGCTAGTAGTACCCAAGAAATTTATTCCTTCTGTTTCTTTTTCTTTTTCCTTCTTTTATTTTTTTCCTCTTTTCTTTTTTGTAAAAAGACCTGTATAAATTTATCGTTTATGTACAGGAAGGCTGGTAATTGCTACACACTAAATGAGATTTTGAAATGGAGAGGATGGAAAACACAGTGTAAAATGCTACGTTGCTGAGTTTTGTTTTGTTTACTGTGCATACTAAGAAATTGAAGTTGGTCTAATTAGAATATAGTGTGAGAATTCATTTTTAACTATGGTATTAAATCTCTTTAGAGACTTGATGGATCGATAAAAGGGGAATTGAGGAAACAAGCACTGGATCATTTTAATGCAGAAGGATCAGAGGTATGGTATTAGTTGGGTGTTAGTGAATATATTAGTTGTGAATTAGTTGTGTATATATTCCTAAGAAATAAAACAGACTTACAAACTGAAGGCTGAGAAAACTCATGGGTATAAAGTTGACATTTTCTTGTCATACCTAGGATATAATCTTTGCAATTCTTAGATTTTTTTAAGGTGATGTTAAATAGGAAAACAATTTGAGAATTATATTTAATCAGTAATTACAATGTTTTAGTATTTTTTTTTCAGTGCCCTTTATCACAGTAGCTGTAAGTACTATATAAGCACAGAAAAACTTAGCTTCATAACTTGGTTGTTGGGTAGGACTTAATCCTGTGATTTTTTACAAGAGCCCTGAACTCAGCAGGTCTGTAGCATAAAACACATTTGGCAGTGGGCAGAATTAAGTCAACATCTTTGACTATCTAACTTCTGGTATCAGAAGTTTTGACTCTTAGTTTTTTGACTCTTTTGACTCTTTTGACTCTTTTGACTCTTTTGACTCTTAGTTTTTGCTCTGGAAGAGAATAGTGAAGTACTGATTTCTAGCCTACTTGCAAGGATTCAAGAAGCTTCTTTGTTTTATGTGTTGGAAGATTCCTAAGTTATTTAATATTCCTGATCATGCCTCTGTTTTGGCAAAAGTGGAACGATGGCATTTGTCAGTTATTGCTGAGCTTAAATTTCCACTGTTGTTGAGGCAGGAGACCTTAACTTCATAACATTAGGCTGCAGATGTGTGTTAAATACAGAAGTTTTACATTCTAGTACAGACATCATTGCCTTTTTCTCGCACCTTACTAGTTCTGCTGTACAGTTTTTGAGATGAAGGAGGGAATCAAGATTTCACACAGTATTCAAGAGTAGAGGCAAACTACTGATTTGTGCAGCAACATAGTTGTCTGCTGTTTTTTTCTCTACTTCTTTATTTCCCAAATAATTCATAACACTATATTGTTTTTTGGCCATAACTCAACTGAGGTCTTCATGAGATACCTATCACAACACTGAGGATCAGTTCCTAAGCAGTAATGATTTGCTATTACCTCTTACTATTTCTTAGTTAATCAGTTACTTTTATATTCAAGGGCCTTCCCTCCTATGCCATGACAGTTTAGTTTTCTTTAAAAAAAAAAAATAAAGATGAGGAGAAACTTTGGCACTTTAACAGCAGTTTATTTTGTACTTTTTACTGGTGTTGTTTTTTTTGTTTTCTTACTTCCTCCACCCCTCATCCAGGTAGTTGGAGCCCATCTGTGGTGCTGCTTCCCTTAAACTATAGAGAAATAAATAGCTGGTCACAAGACAAACTGGTATTGGTGTTTACTTTATCCTTACAGAAATTCAACTATGGAACAGCTGTTTGATAGCCTAAGAGTTCACAGTGTGCTTGACAGAACATACACACTAGTGTCTTATTGGTTCCCTGAAGAATAATAAAACTAATACATATAAAGCAATTTCTTATTTTGTGATTTTAGGACTTCTGCTTTTTACTGTCTACCAGAGCTGGAGGATTAGGTATAAACTTGGCATCTGCTGACACTGTGGTTATATTTGATTCTGACTGGAATCCACAGAACGATCTGCAAGCGCAGGCCAGAGCCCATAGGATTGGGCAGAAGAAACAGGTACACACCATCAGTCTGCTTCGAGCTCGGAGCCTGGAGGAGACTTCTCACCAGAGCTCTCTGCTTTGCATTTGGGGACAGTCGTCTTCTGTTTTAAGAATAATTAATATTTTCTTAGTTTGTCCAAAAATATTAATATACTCATCAATATACTCATATTTTATTGTTTAAATCTCCCTAGATGGTAGGCAGTATGACAGCTATAAGTGAATATGGATGAAGAGAGTGGAGAGTTGTGGACTCTGCCACGTTCATTGATACCATGTCATTCTAGAAACATACCCTCTGCTTAAGTGAAATGTTTCCTAGTTCTTTCCAAATCTTTCTTGCAGAACACATCAAGCAATATATCAGATAAATGACATTTGCTTATGGCCATGCTTTTGCCTAATCTCTGCAGTTTATTGAAGAGAAGTCTGAATGTATTAATTTTGTTTTTACTGGAATATGCAGAGACTGTAGTAACATGACTGAACAGGTATTTCATAAATCAAACCAGCTAAAAAAAAAATTTGTAGAGTTGTAATCAAGACTGACATATTTCCTTAAGGCATTTTTTGTTATCTTGGTAACTTTTTTTCTGACACAGTTTTCATAATGTAACTAGAGAACAATGTAAATAGACTTGTTGTTTTTTTAATACACATAGGTTAATATTTATCGGCTAGTCACAAAAGGGTCAGTAGAAGAGGATATACTTGAAAGAGCCAAGAAGAAGATGGTGTTAGATCACTTAGTAATTCAGAGAATGGACACTACAGGGAAAACTGTGCTACATACAGGGTCTACTCCTTCAAGGTATATTTTTATGTTCTTCCATATAAACCTACCCTTAAGTATATTTGACAGGCAAATAAAAATGCAAGTTAATGTGAAGAAAAAAATGTTTAGTAAGGATGTGCCAAGTATATTGTTTTTGCAAATCTTTCATTACATACTAAATGCAGCATTTATGTTTAAGTGAAGCAGAAGCTTGATTGTCTCCTAATAGTTATTTGAAAAAAAATCTCCAAGATGTTCTTCTGAAATTCCTGTATTTCAGCTCAACACCCTTTAATAAGGAAGAGTTATCAGCAATTTTGAAGTTTGGTGCTGAGGAACTTTTTAAAGAACCTGAAGGGGAAGAACAGGAGCCCCAGGTAAATGGAACAGTGCTTCTACACTTGATGGGTATAACAACCAAAAATATTATTTTGTTATAAAGAGAAACTTGCTCTTTTTCAGGAAATGGATATAGATGAAATCTTGAAGAGGGCTGAAACACGAGAAAATGAGCCAGGCCCATTAACTGTAGGAGATGAGCTGCTTTCACAGTTCAAGGTAGGGCTGTCTCTCATATTCCTGCCTCCCATAATTACGCTTCCCTTTATAAATGCTGTTATTCCTTTTGCCTGCTTTTCCATCTTTCCTTGTTCTTATGAAACAGATGCCACAATAAGTCAACACCATATCTTCTTTTGGATAAAATATATTTTCATCTATATGTTGCTAAAATATATATTATATATTTACAAATGTATTAATCTTCGATTTAACAATTATAATTCTAGGACGGGTCGTTTTTATGCTCGAAAGCATCTGTGTTGCTTTTGAAAACAAAACACAAAGTTTGGGTTGTTTGATCGATCACTGAGAAATTCCTTTCAGCCCCCAAAATTCAGTAAACTTGAATTGTAGATATTTTAATTGTTATCCAATTATATATGTTATAGAGTGTACCTAGATTGGTTTGTTTTGGTTGTAAAAGTCCAGAGCAGCAGAGCATTTATTTCTTTAGTTCA